AGATTCTAGGCTAACAACTCCTTGGCCATCTATATGAGTTAGAAGAATACAAAAATACTTTGTGACGTCCTTCGTGTATTGCCTTCCTTTCATAATTTTATTTTAAATTACTTAATTTTTTCTGTAATTTCACTATCACTTATAAGACATTGAATCAAAATATAGACCCGCAAGGAAATAAAAAATTGATCGAATACCAGAGAAGGTAAACAGACTTTCAAAGAAACATTACGAAATTATAAGGCTGTTACTTTATTATTTATTTGCAACATGCCAAATTATAATTTTACATTAATCGTACTTGGTAAATTATGCTTTTTATGAAATGGTTACAATATTTTAGGAGACTCAAATTGAGTGTTTAAAATATTATTGGTATTGCAGATGTTCATAGGCTACGGTAACCACTTACCATCAGGTGGGTCGTACGCTTGTTTGCCACCTCAGTGGTATAAAAAAAAATATCTAGGTGTCGGACGGGGTGAGCATTGCAATTAATTCCAGCATGAAATACGAGTAGGTTTCTTTTAATTCGCGCTTCATTCAGCGCGGCTAGACGCGCGGAGCGAAGTCACAATGGTCCCGCGCCACCCGGCCACCCCGCCGCCGCACCGCACCGCACCGCACCGCGCCGCGCCGCGTCACAGGCGACTCCGCACTACGTGGACTGCTTCCAACGTAGATTAATGACGAAGAATAGAGTACATTAGACTTCCACACACGTGCCAAGATTTTGCAAACGAGACGGGCCTTACTGTATTTACACTCACATGTAGATAGTCATTATGTTCGCTTTGCTCTCGATCACTCTGCTCAGACAACGTTAGGTACTCTGATTCTTTAATAATATTATATTGTGGTCGGGATTATTTTGTTGTACTAAATACAACATGCAATAAATATATAACATGTGACACTAGTTATTGTATTGAATAAGCTACTTGTATATTAGCTACTTAGGCGATACCTTTAAGATGTTAAATAATTTCAGAAGATTAATAAAAAGCAAGACACAAGGTTTTTGTTGTCAAAAATTTAAACAATTGTACACACAGACATACATATAAATAGAATAGTTATACACATTAACGATAGTTATTTTAAATACACTTGTTTTATTTCATAACTATGAACCTAGAGTATAATTATTGTAGAAAAAAAAACATAACGCCTACAGAGAATAAATAAGAAGAAAATTATTACATTTAAGGTAGGAATTTACGTATTTTATATTACTCTCAAGTTTTTGAATACCTGTATCGTAATATATAACTTAAGAATAAACTTATAAGGTTGATTTTTATTTTTACTCCATATTTATGACTCTCGCATATTTAATATGTATTATAAAGGAAAATTTTGCACTAACGTTTCAACCAAGAAATCTAAGTTGACTTACCGTCACAATCATTCTGGTTATGATACGTCACAGTTTGTTACCAAATCATGATGATCGTTCACTCCCCCGAGCAATAATGAAGTTATGCTCGCGTACTCCAAGTATTAACATTGTTACGGAGAAGTTGAGAATATTTTGCATATCATGAAACGTTACATTCAACACAACCATGGTTTGTACGCGAACTAAAGGTCGACATCTGCATAATTAACGATTTTGACAAAATTAGATAAAGCCTTGCATTAAAAAAAGAATAATCGAAATCGATTTAGTCAGCAATATTCAACAATTTTAAATAAAAAATGTTGGTTGGTTGTCTTGAAAACATTGCTCTCAGCAATAAGACGCCTTATTGTACTTATACAATTGTATCGTTGTGTTTATTAATTGTCTTGTATATTTCCTATATATTGTAATAAGAATAAAGTATACTCATTCATTCTATATTTCAAAAATACATTTGAATTCAGAACCTTTTAAAGGTGCAATAAATTAAATGCTTTCAAAACATGAATATTGAAATATCATCTGATAAAGTACCGTGATAATATTATAAAATTTAATTTTATTTAGCGTCCATGGTGTACGCGGCGACATATCATCTCTGTTCCGGAGCCATTTTCTTTTCATCAAGGTATCTTCACGCCCGAGGGACGACGTCTCGGCTCCCACCCCCCATCCGCCCAGCCCTGTCTAACCCCTCCGCGCCTTTCATTTTGATAACGTTTTACATTTTTTTTAAGACAGTTAGTGCTCAGCACGAGAAAAAAATATTTAAAATTTGATGCCGTATGAAAATTGCTGGCCTGCAATTTTCTGCATAAGAATTTTATGACATCTGAAATTCAGAGGCGCTAATTTCATTAATACATTAATTTGCACTATATTATTCTTGAAATGATAGAGGTACTACTGTAATAGTTACTTAGTCCTAATTATATAAGACAATATTATAAATACAAAGCCTAGTATGTAGAAACTGATATTGTGATCATATGTAATGTGGAAGAAGCGAAAGAGGTTTGTTTGAATCGAAGCATTTGGCGTTCCATTGTTTCTGCCTACCCTAATGGGAGACAGGCATGACAGATATGTATGTATGTATGTATGTATGATATACAACCTTCGATTTCTGCTTCAAAACTTTGCTAATATAAACGAAAAATGTAGTGTCACATTTTTTTCAATTACTTATTTGCGTAAATAAAGGTCCAGTTATGAATTTGACTTTGTATTATAGTATGTCATGTAAAGTAATGTGTTGTAGCGTCACAGGGTGTATAAATACAATGTCTACTTATACATTACGAATAAATAATAATATAATACATTCTTATATAATATAATACATTTATTCATCATATTTATACATATTTACTTTATTAGCCAAGTAAAAAACACCTTCACACTTTTGACACCTCATGTGTTATAATAGTACATATATAATTGACGAACAATATTATTATTAAATTAGAGTATTTTCAAAGTTGATACATAATTATAGCAAATTTTCAAGTTGTACACGTACAAGTTGAAATTTTATAACTTAATAGAATAATATTAATTAATACGAGACAAAAAACAAATTTGTTTCACTTTTGATTTAAAACTTTCAAGACATTGTAAAAAGGATGCTTTAAAAAATAATTTAATTATTATTCCGAATAGTTGCTTAATTTCTACAGAGTGAATTTTTGGCAACCGGATTGTATTTTTATTTCGCTTGTGGTAGTCGTGATTATCTGAATTCGTCTTGAATTTATTTTTGTTTAATACATTTGTCATGTATGTTTATTATACTAAATAATAAGGTTACAGCCCTAATTTTTTCTTTTATAAAATGTGGTCTCACTGAGGCCACAAATGATTGTTATCGCTCGCTTTTGTTGCTTGTGTATCTCTTCACATTATTCTAAGTGTAGGAGTACCGCCCAACTCACACATCAGTGAAATTCATTGCAACAAATTCTATGTTAGTACTTTGCAATAGAGAATATGAAAAAAGACATCTTTCTGGTAAATCATTAAAAATACAACGTAGCTTTTATCATGTTTATCCCCAGATAATTATATGAAGCGACAAGGGAAAAGAATATTTTTCTAAAGGAAAGTTTAGAAAAAAAGGTGTTTATTCGCAACAATGTGACTTAATGAATTGTGAAGGCCACGCAATTATTGTAAATTAACTGTGCGCGTTTCAAGTACACGAAATTTCGAGTGAAATGTAACCATTAAATACTGTAACAATATCATTAGTTTGAAGAGCTTAATACGGAGCACTTACACAACAAACGTCAATACGAATACAATTATACTATTTCACTAACTAACATAATCGCCAACGATTCCACTAAGAGTGCCTTTGAACATTTGCAACAAATAGGATTAATTACTAATGCCATACAATTATTAAAGGGTTACTATACATGGTGACTGAGGCCAATTTCATGGTCGTGTTGTAATGGCACGCGCAGATGTGGGACATTTTCGCTCGCAGACTTTCCCCTCATATTTGGCTTGCCTACTCAGGCTTTTAAGTTTAACCGACAATTGTCGGCGTACTCATACTTTGGTCCAGTCATAATAAAACCCCCATAATCGTATGCTGTTACGCGCACGTGTTACCATTGTACAAGTATACAATTACAGAAGGGAAATATTGTCCGCTGACAGTATTTACTTCGTGTGTGGGCGGGAGTTAAAAGAATTAAATGAAATTATACGTACAGAGTTCTCGTAGTTGAACATGGCGTCACTGTGAGATGTGAGGCTACACCGAGCATAGTTTTTTTATGCAACTTAGAATGGTAAAGGAGCTGATAACCCACCTGATGGAAAGTGATAATTGACACCTAAAGACATGAGCAGTACCATGGACATAACAGAGTATACTCTTTCGCCCATGATACACTTCCATGCGTTGCCATTCCTGAGGTCTTAGCTGTTATTCCTCTGTACCCTGTAAATTCGCTGCCATATCCCACCCTTCAAACTGAAATACAGCCATGCAAACACTATTGCTTCACGGTAGAAACACAAATGGAACAGAGGTGCCCAAGCAGACAACTTTTATACAAAGTCTCCCTCTAGCAAATAAAACTTAAAAATAATTATAAATAATACTGCTTCTATAGAACAAATTATTTTGATTGTCACAGAAACACTGTGTGAATAACATTTGTTTGTAATTAATTAAAACAATCACCGGTAATAGAATCACCGATGTGATGATTTCAGACTTAGTATTTTATTAGTTTACTTTTAAATTAAATTTAAATTCAAATCATCTTTATTTAACAAGTCTATGTTTACAAGCACTATCACTGTTGCTAGAATTTACAAACAATAAATATTAAATATTTTAAATTGACTTTTAAAAGAAGAACGTTCTCATTTCGGTTGTATTTTTTTTTTTTTTGTTTTTTAACACATAACTCCGTCAGTTGTAAACCGATGCAAAATTATTTTTTTTTTATCTAAAAGAACACACTTACGTATTGAGGGATCAATTAGTTTTAGTAGTTTAAATTTTTTAATGAAAATAACTAACTTTGCTATTTCAAAGTAGTTTTTTTTATTTTTTTTTTATTTTATGAAACTCAGTCTTAATTATTAACACTAAAATGTTACTAGTTACCTTTACACTGTCACTTGAGCACGGACACCGGTCCGGTCCGGCGTCCGGCGTCCGGAACGCCGCTGCGCGTCATTCGGCAGTAGTCCGCGAGCCGCGCGGCCGCTACGCCTCCGTAGCAGCACCGCGCCGCGCCGCGCACGCTACGAACTCGCCGCCAACTTTTATCGTCTCTCGAGCTCACTGCAGTGAAAGTACTGTTTATCAACTGTTATCATTCCATAGTGTATACAAAGTGACTGAGATGACTGTGCTCGGAAGTTTTAGAGCGTATGGAATTAATTAAAGGTAAGTTACGGAATTTGAAATTTTTTAATTGTAAGTTTTATTTCTTTTAATGTATTGTAAATTTTATTTGAAATAAACAGCATTGATTTAAACTCTTACAATAGAAATTAAATATTGTAAAAACTAGAGACTATTGTCTACACTAGAATTTTTTATTTTCGGATATTTCTGTCTAATAAATCTTCTGTATGTTCTATAACTTTTTACAAAAACAATATTATTAATAGACCCCTATTTTAAATCATAATTGTATTTATTGTAGATCTAATACAATCATAAATCTAGCTTAATTATATTAATATAAATACTACACAAATATAAGAGTTTGGGAAGATTATATATGTAGTTGTTGCTGAATGGGTTTGAATAAAATTTGTTGTCAAGTTGGTCCATATTCCAATTTTTTTTTTCACACTAAACTCACAGGTGACTGCTAGTTATAAATAATATAACATTTAAACATTATTTAAACCTTTAAAGTTAAATATTAAAATCAAACTAATTGTTTTCAGAAAAATAAAAGTAACACTGTCAGTTGTACGTTAAATATTTTAAAATAATTTATTTAAAACTATATTTCAGCGTCATTTTAATCACTTACTTATTAATTTCTAATTACTACACAAGAAGTATTGTACAATATTTAATAATAATAATAATAAATAAATTCTTTAATCAAGGCAACCAGGGCCTACAAAATGTTAACAATATTAGTTCGTACCAGATATAAATTATTAAATCAAATTTTGACACTTATAACAAATAACATTATCTTAACCTACATTTTTTTTGTATGTTAGCCAGCGTGTGAATAATTCTGCAATGATTCAAATACTGGCAGTCTGGACGGTCCGCAAATACCTTTAGGATAGCGTTAGAGCTGTCCCGAACCCTACGCATCAGAGATGTGCACCGCTTTCGCATAGTAGCGTAGAAACAATTTAGTATTTAAATACGTGTAACCATAACTGTTTTACTGAACTAGATGTCATCTTTCGGATATTCATATCACTGGTTATTTGATTGTAATTATTTTGTTTAATTCCGCTTCCATTAGTATGCGTGTGACTACCGACGCTCAAACATTGACTACCATCGTTACTGCCAAAATTTCTACAACCTTCCATATAAGCCATCAATCTCCGAAAGAAATACGAATATATATAGAGGTGAAACATGTATCACAAAATGTGCGTGGACGAAATGGCAATCAGAGATTGAAGGCTAATATGGCAGGTTATAAAAGTTTTAATGTTCAATCTTTGAGTGTTGGCAGTCACACACATACTAATGGTAGCGGAATTAAACAAAATAATTACAATCAAATAACCAGTAACTATAATTATTCCTCTCCGACCTGGGGATGCCTGGAAGAGATCGCTATTTATCGATAAGGCTGCCCACTGTTGTCTCTTTACCTTCCTTTTATATAATTTTTAGTATCCGACCGAAACAGGTTTTACAGCCGAAACCGAAACCGAACTTTCGACCTTGGTATCAATTTCGGCCGAAACCGAAACTAAAACTTACTGAAACATATTTAAAATTCCTGTTCTATACTGAAATCTAGCGTACTTTTTACACAATTATTTACACAAACACACAGATATTTAAAGGGTAATAATAAACACTAATTAAAGTATGTAACAAATATGTCATATATATATATGTAAAAAAAATTATGACTTACTCTTGGAAGTAAACTTAAAAAAAACAACATTTAGTTAGACACAAATACGACACAAACACACACACAAAGTTTCGGCGCGGTCGAAATTTCGGTAAATTTTTGGCCGAAACCGAAACCAAAAGTTCGGTCGAACACTAATAATTATTTTTTTGTAATTATTTTTTCGTGTTCATATTGTGTGAACTTTATAATCTATATCATTCTTTGGAGGAAACAATAAAGGGTATCTATCTATCTATTTATCTATTCTCATTCCAAGTGCATACGCTTCACGATCTATGTCACATGGTACATTACGTACGCTGAACTATGCGGGAATAATAATCAGACAGACAGATTTCCATCATATTTTTTTTTAGGCAACTTAAAAATAGCAGACGAGCTGGCAGCTCACCTAATGGAAAATGGTAACTGTCACCTATAGACATGAACAGTGCCATGAACGTCACAGAGTATACTGTGACGCCAATGAACCCTTCATGCGTTTTTTACCCATCTATAACTAATAAAGAACAATTTACAATTTTATTTATAATTTTCTTCAATTAATGATCACAAATTGATCATTTTGGTGACAGTAATACTAAGACCTTTATAGGGTAAAGTGAATCTGTGTGAACGTTGCAGGCTTCACTCGCTAAAATAAAAATAATGCAGAGTTGTACAATAACGAATATAAAGATATAATAACGAGGAAGAAAGGAAATGGCGGACGACGAAATAATTGCTTCAATTAATTATATTTATATGCATTAAACCAACTTTGGACTCCGACATCCTGTTCTTAAGTACTTTGAAGTTTTTCAAGTCTTTCATCCGAATGTAATGAATATTACTGCAATTTTTTTATTTTTATCTTAAATGTTACTATACAAATGTAATTAAAATATGATTAAAATTATACGATTATATATATATATATATATATATATACACTATCGACACGCTTAATTTTTATTTTTGACGTTTCCGATAATACTAACCAGATCAGAAATAATTTAATAATTTAAAATTGTGTTTAAAAAAAAACTCAACTTCAGTTATGGCCAAACACATTGTTTTTATTTTAAAACTGAACTACATACACAATTTTGATGAAATTGCCATAGAACCAATTTGTAAGTATACCCTTTCAGATAAAACAGAATATTTCAAATCGGTATTCAACAAACGAAGTTATGAGACAACAGACCTAAATAAATACATCTGAATTGAAAAGCTCTTTATTTTTTAAGTCGATTGTCTGTTAATTTGTCCGTAACTTGCATTTGTAACATACGAGTACAAATGGAGCACATTAGTTTAACAAGGTACCGGAGTAAATCCAGTAATACGCTCGCGTGGGATAATTCACAATACTCTTGCATTTGGATGTTTTCGCGCCAAAGATGCCGACACGCACATAACACTCAGAGAACATTACATATTCAAATACTTTAGCAATTCATCCCCCTAATTTTGTAGTTTATGAGACTGGATTTTTTTTTATATACCACAGAGGTGACAAAGATAGCAGAGCCCGTCTAAATATAATCGATTACCATAGCCTATGGGAGTTCATATGTGCAAAGGTGAGTGTAAAACCACATACGTCTTTTTAAAACACTTTAAGTTTAAGGAAATCTCGGCAAAGAGCTCTCTCTATAGCATAAACGTTCTCGGGAGGAAATTCCTGTGAAATCACACTATACGCGACCAATTGTGTTCTAGTATTCCAATAATAGTATGGAAACTTAGTGTGGCAGGTTCTGATATATATATATATATATATATATATATATATATATATATATATATATATATATATATATATATATATATATATATATATATATACGAGTATACTTTGCAATCTTAGGGCTCTAGTTTTCAATTAGATAAAACCGAATACACCACAGCGTTTCCATATTAATATTATCTTTAAAAAAAAAACACAAATTTATCATTTTTATTATCATTATAATTTCATCCGTTGACTGTCCGCTGCTGAACATAAGCCTTCCCTATAAAAGGAGTTTAGCCAGTAGTTGCCACGCTTGACAGGCGGGTTGGCAGCCGTAGTTAGGCTTTTACAGATGTTTTAAGAGAGACGCTGCTGCACATCCCTCCACCATAAGCTCCCTTAGTCGCTTCTTACGACACCCACGGAAAAAGATGGAGGTAGTCCAATCTATGCCGGAGAAAATTAGCATTAAAAAATTGAAATATGTTTATATTGTCTGTTACACATACAAAAATAGGCAGACCGAATTAACTGGTATAAAGTATTCTGGCATAAAACTTTAAATTTAAAATTTCATGCCCCAAGGGTGCGAACGGAACATCGTGGCAGCAACCCTATCCAGCCATTTATCAAAAATTTTACTTCAAAACTTCCAAAGTGTTTAAACTAAATCTACGTGCATGTTTCATAATTGGTATGTGTTAATTATGAATCATGCACGTAGATTTAGTTTAAGTATGAAAGTTAAGAAACGATCCTGAACTGCCTCACCGTCTGTCTACTGACCCTCGAGACCATTCCATACGACGGTCTGAAGAGGAGGTCTCCGTTCACCAGTGGGCTATAGTAGGTAAAATTATGATTATTATTATTCATACTAAAAATATTATGGGAGTACTAAAGTGTGGGCTTCAAATCGCTTAATAACATCCATTAAATTTCATTACTGTAAGTGCTACCCGCCATAAGCTAAAGTTTTATCCCGACCATCTTGATCAGTAACGACCCTCCACGGTGCGTTACTGTAGGCATTTTTTTCACGCACAACCAAAACATGGAACTAACTCTCAGCAGCATCAGGTCGACCCCCCGTGGACACTCTAGAAACCATTGTGCCAAATTCCAGGTGTATTCATCACGATGAGCTAACTGTCCTGCCCTTTCATTCTCTTTTTTTTTATACAACTTGGAATGGCAAACAAGCTGACAGCCCACCTGATGGAAAGTGGTAACCGTCGCCTATAGACATGAGCAGTACCATGGACATAACAGAGTATACTGTTTCGCCCATGATAACCCCCATGCGTTGTTATTCCTGAGGACTCAGGTGTTATTCCTCTGTACCCAGTAAATTCACGCCATATCCCACCCTTCAAACCGAAACACAGCCATGCAAACACAACTGCTTCACGGTTGAAACACGAAAGGGACAGAGGTACCCAAGCAATCGACTTTTGTACTCTCCCTCCATCCATCACTCGTGCCTAGACAGCGTATGCTGATAGCGCAGCTGAGGTTACCATTCCATTACTATCCATTTAAACTCCCAGCAGCAGTATTTCCGAACACATACGATATTGAAACTTT